AGAGAGAAGAGAGGGAAGAATGTATTTAATGTATTCTGCACTTAGGTGTTCGGAAAAACAATGATCCTGATGACGACGGTAATGATGATGACGATCAAATTGGCGATGGTAACGACGACGATGATGATGATGATGATCGTAATGAAGATGATGATGATGATGATGAAGATGATGATGATGAAGATGATGATAGCAAAGGCGTGACCGAGGCAATGAATTACTTTATACATTAACATTTTTCAGTCAAGCTTTTTTATTCAATTATATCGTAAAAATTAGACCGAGCTAAACAAAAAAATTAATTGTAGTTCTCACGTTCATCCAACTATACACACACACTTACATACACACATTCATACATACACATACATACACACATACATACACATGCATACACACATACATACACAAATTCATGCCATTTCTATTAAGCTTTAATGCATATTAACGCAAGAACCTCTTCAGTTGTTTTATTATTTAATATTTTTTTCCTACTAAAAGAATTTCGCATCACTAATACAAGATGAACTTTTCAATAGTGTATTAATATGTAATATTATCTCATTAAATAACATCAAATGTGTTATTTGACAATGTAGAAATATAAAAATTTAATATAAATTCCATTTTATAGGTATAATAAATGTAAAATTTTTTTATATGTACGTCTATACAATACACACATCACATTTAAGCAAACTTAAATTAAATACCATTATATTAGGACATCTCTTTTAGTTTAGATTAAAAGTTAATCTAGCGCGTAAAGTTTTAAAGGTTAGTTTTTGCCAAATAAAATGGCCATTTGTTTACTTTGAATTAAATTTGAACGCAGTTTGGCAGAATTTTTTTGAAAGTATTTGAAATTAGAAAGCGAAAATTGCGAAAAATTGAAGATGTCAATCCGTGCGTTTATCAATCATCCTGCTGGTTATTTGCTTTTTTTTCTTATTTAATTTACTATTTTAGTATTTGATTTCATTTTGTGATTGAAAACTTTTATTTTTTAATTAATATTTAACTTTCCTAATTTTCAGGATTAAATTAGTAATCAAATATAATCGTATGTATGCTGTTTTGTCATTATTTTTTATTATAAGAGAAAAAAAATTAATTAATCCAAATTTCATAGTTCTTTCCAGCAAAAACAATTTTTCTAACTTTACTTTTTACTACTAATCATTTTAAGGCCCCAAAACGATTTTCTTTTGGGCCCCAACGATGAAATGGGCTTTGGTTGGGGCTGGATTGGGGGATTATGCCCGCCCGCCTGAGAAACTTAGCACCTATCAATCAGCAGTTCTAGCTGCTACTGGTGGGTAGAGACGGGTTATTTATTATTTCGTTTTATTGTTGCTAATTTTTTAAAATTTTCTCTAGAGTTTTTCTTTAGAGGTATTAGCAACAAACACACATTGTAATGTAATGAATGTATGAGCCAAATGTGAGAGGTGGAGATCTCTTTGATTTTGAACCCGATGACTACAACAGCATTGCCAGGTGCCTTAACCATTACACCATCAAACTGCTCATGTTGGT